TTCCGGCTACTTGGAAGGCTGAGGTGGAAGGATCGCCGGAGCCCAGCACTGCAGTCTGGGTGACAGAGTGAGACTCCAAAAAATAAAAATAAAAAAGAAAATATTTTCTCTTTATATCTTTATTCTATAAGCTGTTTCTATGTTTAAAATTTTTATTTATTTCTTTATTTTTTACTTAGTATGTTTTTTTTGTTAGAAACTAAGACATGGCTGGGCCATGTCTCCTGGCTTTGGCCCCCTCCTCTATCTTGGAGAAGTGAATGTCCTCTTTCTCTCTCTCTCTATTTACTTTTTTTTTTTTTTGAGTTGTAGTCTCACTGTTGCCAAGACTGGAGTGCAATGGCTGCTCCCGGCCACCGTAGCCTCGACCTGCTGGGCTCCGGCGATCCTTCCGCCTCAGCCTTCCAAGTAGCTAGAACTACAGGCGCACGCTACCACACCCGGCTAATTTTTTTGATTTATTGCAGAGATGAGGTCTCGCCTGCCCAGGCGGGTCTCGAACCCGCAGGCTCAGGCAATCCCTTCACCTCAGCCTCCCAATCTATTTACTTTTTAAATAAACTATTTTTTCCTAATCTGAAAAAAAAGAACTAAGACACAAACACACACATGAACCTAGGCCTACATAGGGTCAGGATCATCAATATCTCTGGCTTCCACTTTCACATCTTGTCTGACTAGAAGATCTTTAGGAAAAATAACATGCATCGAGCTGTCATCTTCTATGATGACAATGCCTTCTTCTGGAATACCTCCCTACAGGACCTGCCTGAGATTGTTTTACCATTGACACACACTCTTTCTCTCTCTCTTTATATATATATATATAAATGACAACAAAAAATAGCATACTGAATACATAAACCGGTAATATGGCCATTTATTACCATACATAATTATATGTGATAGACTTTTATATGATTCACAGAGCAGTAGGTTTGTTTACACCAGCATCACCACAAATACGTGAGTAACGCGTTGTGCTATGTTGAATGGCTTCGATGTCACTAGGCAATAGGAATTTTTCAGTTTCATTATAATCTCTTGGGACCGCTGTCATATATGCGTTCCTTCATTGACCGAAATGTCATTATGCAGTGTAAGATTGTATAAAGCATTAATCCTAATTGCAAGATATTTTTGGCTAAAATAGTGCTTCTGTGAAGTATCAATTTTAATGATGTGTTTTAGTTATGTATAGTTGGCAGGATATTTTTAATGACAGTTGGCAGTAATTGTTGGTGAGTGCTCAGGACAGTAAAACTAAATGTGTAACTGACTTTTCCTTCAGACTAAAAAATACATCCCAGAGCTATAACAAATCAAGTTTCAATAATTTGGTGTTGAAGTTGTCAGAGCCCACTTTTCTTCCTGTTTGGACGACCATATAACCCCAAATCCCCAGTATGATCCTCTTATTGGGAATTTATACACACTGATGACACAGCTGCAGGTGTGTGCAAAGAAATGGAATGTAAAGATTTTTCTTTAACTGGTGAACGTATCGAAATGCCAGTGGAGACAGCTGTGATGAATTTCGATTAAAGATCTGCTATTTCATCAGGTAAATATACTCACAAATTTAATTTCTTGTAGTTTCTCATGCTGGAATTGTTGACAATTTCCTTTTCCCCAAGCAACAGACCTAGTCTGTCAACAGAATCTGGGTAACCAGATACTCCTTTTACCAACTTTGTTAAAACTGGCCATCCTCTGTTGAGGGGGGAGGACTTTATCTTTTGGATTAGAGATTAAGTTGTGATAAATGTGATTAAGAAATGAAACTAGCTCTTAGAAAGGGTGAATTCATTTTCTTCAACTCCCTCACCACATGCATTCCCACCTACTTGCCATGACTGGGGTCAGGGTTTCCTCTCAAGTGTGGTTCTAGAGAGAATCAGAAAGAGAGGCCAACTAAGGATAGAAGTGGTTTTTGATTGAAGGAGGGCAGAGACTCAGTGTGATGGGTAGGAGACAGGAGACAGCTAATTTGAAGTAAGTCCTGATTTCAATGTTAAATGTAGTCTGAAAAATGGTACAGTAGTTTCCATAGGTTTTTGAAATCTTCCAGAGGTCAAAAATATTTGACATAGGCCTGGCATAGTGGCTCACGCCTGTAATTTCAGGGCTTTGAGGCTGAGGTGGGAGGATCGCTTGAGACAAACCTGGGCAACATAGTGAGACCCCATCTCTCAAAAAAAAAAAAAAATAGCCAGGCATGATGGCACATGCCTATAGTCCCAGTTTCTTGGGAGACTGAGGCAGGAAGATCACTTGGGCCCAGGAGTTGGAGACTGCAATGAGCCATAATCATGCTACCATACCCTAGCCTGGGCAATGGAGTGAGACTGTTTCTAAAAAATAAAATAAAATAAAATGCTTGATGCTTTTCAGGTACTGGATTCTGAAGTTCCTGCAGAGTTTAATTTGGACCTTGGTTTGATCCGTATGACTGAGGAATTCCGAGAAGTAGCTAGTCAACTGGGATATGAAAAACACATCAGCCTCATTGACATATCCAGCATGTAAGAGTGGCACAAAATCTTTGAAACTTGCAGAGTCTGCTGCTTTGGGGAGAGAATAGTAGTGACACTGCTTGTCCTGAATCTCTACCATTCCCCAATTAGGGTTTGCTTCTGCAACGAAAGCCTTGCTGCAGTGAGCATAGCTGTATTGGACACAATTCACCTCTTCAAGCTGTAGTTTCTTTATTTGTGAAATGGGACGGTATCTTTCTCTTGGGATTGCTATGAACATAGATAGCATGGGAAAATATCTGGCACTTGATAGATGCTCAGTACTTAGTTACTGAATCTGAATCTAATTAATGGCTCCAATGGCTTTGCTATTCAAAGTGTGGTCTGTGGCTCAGCAGAATTGGCATCACTTGGGAGCTCATTAGAAATGCAGGCCCTTGGGGCTTCTCCACCCTTGCTGCATTGGAATTTGCACCTTAAAGATTTCCAGGTGGCTAGACTGTGTAGTTCATGCCTGTAATCCCAGTGCTTTGGGAGGCTGAGATGGGAAGATCACTTGAGCCCAGGAACGCGAGACCAACCTGGGCAACATAGCAAGATACTGACTCTACAAAAAATAAGATAAAATAAAGATTCGCAGCCAGGCTGGGTGGCTCAGCCTGTAATCCCAGCACTTTGGGAGGCCAAGGCTAGTGGATTTCCTGAGCCTGCAGGTCCCAGACCAGCCTGACAACTTGACGAGACCTCATCACTACAATAAATAAAAAATTAGCTGGGCCAGGCTCGGCGGCTCAGCCTGTAATCCCGCGCCTTTGGGAGGCTGAGGTGAGTGGATTGCCTGAGCCCGCGGGTTCAAGACCCGCCTGGGCAGCAAGACCTCATCTCTACAATAAATCAAAAAATCAGCCGGGCATGATAGCGCACACCTGTAATTCTGGCTACTTGGAAGGCTGAGGCAGAAGGGTTGCCGGAGCCCAGCAGGTCGAGGCTGCGGTGGCCGGGAGCGGCCACTGCACTCCAGTCTGGGCGACAGAGTGAGATTCCAACTCAAAAAAAAAAAAAATTAGCTGGGTGTGGTAGCGCACGCCTGTTGTTCCAGCTACTTGGAAGGCTGAGGTGGAAGGATCGCCGGAGCCCAGCAGGTTGAGGCTG